TGCGAACGATGCTTTCTCCGCACTGCTCCGGCGAGCATCGGTGACAGTGCGCGCCCAGAGCGGCGTCGCTCTCAAGCACTCGCATGGAGCCGACGACGCTAATTTGACCAGCTGCCAGCTCGAGCCCGCACAGTATTGGAATCCAGTTGGCAATCCAATGGCGGTGGCCTGCGAGACAGGTCCGGAGAGCACGCGCTCGCCCCCGGGCGCCACCGGCGCCCCTCCGTCAAGACAAGGCGTTGAGGCGCGGCTGTCCATCCCAAGTGTGGAGCAGGTGGTGAGGAGGGGAAGGGGAGGGGAGGGGAGGGGAACCGCTGTCCGTGTCTGCGCGCGAGCGGTTGCGTGATTATGTGTGTAGGCGCCCTAGACCGTAAACGCCATGTTGCGCGACTGCATCTTCTTTACTCGGGCAGCTGTTGGGACGTGGTTGCACCGACACCTCGCCCGACGACAGGAGTGCTGATTGTGGCAACTCCCAGCTACAGTTTCGGTGCGGATGGCGTGTCGCTCTGCTCGGCAGGGCGGGAGGCTGGGAAAGGCTCGGGACATGGACACTTGGGAACCAAAAAGTGGATGACGTGTCGCGCCGTATCTTGGTGGGCCAGAACTGGCGGAACGACACGCTACCCCAAAGTTCCCGACCGTAGTTTTTCCCTCCGCACCTTTGCTGTCCTCTGCTCCCGTCCCCTCCACCCAGTCAACCTCCCGCACGCTCACCGCTCTGCCCTTGCCCTGCCCCCCTGCCCTCTCCGCCCCCCGCAGTTCCGCTTCTCCATGGTCAGAGAGGAATTGAAGTGTTGCTTCTTGAGCTCAACGTTTCACCTTCCAGCTCATTCAGGGACCGGCCACCCTGGCCACCCTCAAAGCTGTCTAAATCGCAAATTATCCGACCCGCCCACAATTCCTCCTTTATCCTCCCAGCCCTCTTACCTCCCGGCCCTCCGTGCGACGACGCACAAGCACCGCACGTTCACACCACACTCGCGGATTACACTGGCGCGCTCGCCCACGGAACAGATGATTCACAGCGCAGGCTGGCGTCAGGAGCCCAGGCCTCAACCTTCGGAGCGGTGCTTCACGTCCAGCATGAAGATACCCTGTCGGCCCTCCTGCACAGCTTGCTTTACGCCTGTAAGCTGCATGCCGACGGTGGCAAGGGCGCTGTCCACCTCGCCGGTGCAGGGGCATATCCCGTGCTGCATGGCACCCCCCCTGCAGAACGACTGCCCTCGTAACCCACCTGGTATGCTTGCCTCTGCCCCATACCCGCCTGTCACATTCTTCCCCTCCTCTGCCCCAGCCCACTCCTCCTCCTCCTCCTACTCCTCCTCCTCCTCGTATTTCTCGTCCTCCTCCTCCTTTGCCTCCTCCTCCTCCTCCTCCTCCTCCTCCTCCTCCTCCTCCTCCTCCTCCTCCTCCTCCTCCCCCTCCAGCTTCTCCTCCTCCTCCTCCTCCAGCTTCTCCTCCTCCTCCTCCCTTCCGAGACTGTCTGCCAGTGATCTCGCCCCCCTCCTGCCCCTCCGCCCTCCTCTCCCCCCCCCCCCACGTTCCCGGGCCTGTGCCGCCGCCGCCCCGCCAGGGGGACGGAGAAGAAGCGAGGAGGGACAAGGGGTGAGCGGGTGGGGGGAGAGGAACGAGGACGAGGGGCGGAGAGTGCGAGCAGGGAGCGGAGGCGGAGCGAGGAGGGGGCGGGGAGGGACGAGCGGGGAGCGAGGAGAGAGAGGATGGAGAGGGACGGGGGAGGGAGAGAGGCGGGAGGGCGAGCGGGGGGATGGAGGTGGCGGAGAGGGCCGGGTGATGGGAGCGGGGGGAGAGGGAGGGCACGGGGAGGGGCTCGAAGGGAGGAGGGGCAGGGAACGGAAGAGGGAGGGACTGGCGCGGGAGGAGGCGACGGAGGGAGAAGGAGGCGTGGCCAGCGCCCCTTCCTTCCTTCCCTCGCCTGCGCCTCGCTTCTCGCAGGGAGGAGAGAGGGGGGGCAGGCCAGAGAAGGGGATCATGACGAGGAGGATGGGCTGGACGCAGACGCGGCAGGAGATGGATACCCGGCGGTCGGAAGAAGTGGGTAGACATATGAAGCATGGAGGCGTTGAAAGTAGATTGGGCTTCCGCCCGCCCTGTGAAGAGGAGGGAAACGGGCGACGAAAATAGGTTGGGACTTGGGCATCCAAAACACACATACCCTCAACGGCCAGCGGGTAAGCACAACGCAAACGAGGATGAGAGGGACCATGACGAGAAAGATCAACGGCGATGCGAGCGCAGTCCCCAATTTGACGGGTGGTGGTATGAGAAGTGCGAATGTAGGCGTACGCGGCGAGTGTCTTTGAGATGAACACGCAGCAGAAGGCTGGGCAGGAGGAGGAGGCGGAGGAGGGGGATGGCGGACCAGTGTGGAGGGGGCTTGGGAATGAAGGAATGAGGGGGAGGAAGAATGAGGATAGAGGATGGCAAGGATGAGACACATCAACAACACGAGGAGTAGGAGTAGAACAAGAAAGTTGAGGAGACGACGACGATGAGGCGACGATGACAACGACGACGCCGATGATGACATAACTGATTGTGCAGGAAGTATGAGATATGAGGTATTAGATCGGACAGGGGATGAGGAATAGATCTTAGAATGCGATGCGTAAAATGTTTATCCACACATTGTATGTGTCTAGAGAGAGAGAGAGACAGAGACAGGACGAGAGACACATAGGTAAGCTACTGACAATGCGGAGGAAGAAGAGGAGGAAGAGGAGGAGGGGAAGGAGAAAGAGAAGGAGGAGGAGGAGGAATGAGACGGATGAGGGAGGAGGAGAAGGAGGAAGATGAGGAGGAGGAGGAGGAACTTCCGGAGGACCCTGTGCACGTGGGATACGGAAGTCGGGGGAGGGCCGTGACGAGGAGGCCGAGATGGTAACGCAGTGGAGGAGGAGCGAACTTGAGGAGAAGACGGAGCAAGATACACTCTCCAGAATATGCCATGGAGAGTTCTACATTGAAGGAGGAAAAACGCCATACACATAAACTATTGGCGCACCATGGCGCACCGTGCGGATTTCGTGGATCTGCGCTGAACCCACCCTCCCTGGCGAGCGGAACGCGCCAGGGGCGGCGCCGGAGGCGCCGCAGGGGGGGCCCAGCGCGGATCCAAGAAATACGCGCGGAGCGCCCAAAGTTGATGTTTGTGCCATTTGTCCTTCTTCGACTTCAAGAAGCTTCGGCTCCAGATCGTTCAAGGAGCAACAGGCTCGCGATCGGAGGGTCCCACCCGTTGAGTGCGAACGGGCCTCCGAGGGGGACAGGTAGAGGAGGACGCGGAACCCGAGGGGTTCTTTGAGGTGGAGGAGGGGGAGGGGGAGGGGGAGGGGAAGGACAAGAAGGCGGGGTAGGCGAATAGTAACATAGGGTGAGAAATTGCGGGCCTTGGGACACATGGGAAGGAAGACGCCGACGAGCACAAACATGACAATGACGAAGCTGGGCAGGAAGTGGAGCGGGGATGGCTCAGAGCTGCAAGGCTGGATGCCTGGCACTTGGGGAACTCAACGAAGCAGGGGGGGCGGTCTCGTGATCAAGCAGGCTCGCTGCCTCTGCTCCCGCCCCCCCCGAGTCGCAGCTGGGGAGGCAGCGCCGAGACCCAGGGAGACGACGAGTACAGCGGAGGCCAGTCCACAACAAACCCCCCACAAGAAACCTAACCCTGAGACCCAGTACATGGACAATATATTCGAACCCAATGCAGACGTGAAGGGAATGCTGGTCCCCCCCCTGCCCCCCCACTTCAATGTTGAGATCGGTATGGGTGTTGCTTTGGGGGTTCGAATATTATTGTCCACCCAAGCCCCCCCATTCATTGCCACATCTCCCCAATATTAATTTGGGGGTCCGGGGGACATCTTGTGTCGCAGGGTTCGGATATATTGTCCATGTACGGCCCCAGGGCGTCCACGGATTTTTGGTGTGGGAACGTCACGCCTTCCACAGCAAAACCAGCGAAACCCAAAGCAAGGTGCTTCTCGGCACGGGCCTCCACTGTGCCAGCGCCCTCGTCTTCCACTTCCCCTGGGAGGAGGCGGGGGCAGGGGTGGAAGACCTCTGCCGAGGAAGAAAACAAAACAAAAACCTCGTCATTCCACTTGTGGCGCGCCGCGCGGAGTTCTTGGATCTGCGCTGGACCGCCCTCTCCTTGGCGCCGGGGGCGGCGCCCGAGGCGCCGCCCGGGGAAGCGGGGCAGTTGGGCAGCGCATCTTCGAGGAGGAGGAGGAGGAGGAGGAGGAGGAGGAGGAGGATCCCTGGCGACCTCACATTGGGGAGGCGCTCGGCCCAGGGGCGAACCGACGGCGGCGGCTGCTGGGCGGGCAGCCTCCCGTCTCCACTGGACACGGCCCGCGGCGACGCCGACAGCGGGTCCTGCTCCACATGATAAAAAAGATACGCTCCAGACTTCGTAAGAAAGGGAGGGGGGTCTCATTTCGGGGGGGGTCTCTTCCAGGCTATCTTGGAGGGCCTGGGGGGGCTCTGGGGACGATGTCTGGGAGGGTTCTCCCACGGGGGAGGTCTGAAATGGCTTGTCCTGGAGGGTCCAGACCCCCTCCCTTTTATTACGAAATCTGGAGTAAGCTGTCGGTCTCTACACCCATTCTTTCCGTACTTCTTCCGATCGTCCCGACCCCTTGGCGACCCCGCCGTGGGGCGCCGCTGGGAGGGGGCCCAGCGCGGCTCCGAGAGATCCACGCGGAGAGACGGAGGTGTGTGCCTATAGCGTTTTTTCTTCTTCGATCCCGAGCTTTGGACGCCCGAAATGGGTACGGAAAGAATGGGTACCATGCCCAAGAACAAATGTTGCTCCAAACCAACAGCGGCCGCTGTTGGGCAAGCGGCCATCTGTCTCAAATGGACACAGGCCGCGGCGGCGCGGACAGCGCGTCCTGTCCAACACGAACAGGAACCGCTGTTGGGCATCGTACCCATTCTTTCCGTGTCCATTTCGTTCGTGCAGACGAGCGACCTCACATTTGGGGTGGCTCTCGGTCCCGGGGCGGCCCCGCCCCCGGCGCTTAGACCCCTCGGGCGCGCCTCGCTCATGCGCTCGGCGCCCGCCCGCACGGCCTGCTCCAGGCCCGCGACGCGGCTCCGGAGGCCCGCGTGCGCGTCGCTCACCTGCTGGAAGTGGCCCGCGGCCACCTCTGGATGCGAGCAGGAGGAGGAGGAGGAGGAGGAGGAGGAGGAGGAGGAGGAGGACGAGGAGGAGGAGGAGGAGGAGGGAGGAGGAGGAGGAGGAGGAGGAGCAGGGCTACTGCAGAACTGACGTACTCCAGAGTGGATATGCCCCGTCGCATCCCCGCACAGGACGCGCGCAGATGTGCGAACGTTCTGCCCATGTCTGCTGAAGGAAATGAATTGAATCTTCTGGCAAATCCATTCTGCAGCCGATCCTCTGCTCGAAGGATAGGCGAGGCCTCTGAGTTTGGAGCTCAGGCAGGCCGCGCCTCTGGGAGGAGCAGACCTGGACATTAGATTCGAACACTGTGGCCCAAGATGCTCCCCGGACCCCCCGAAATCAATCTTGCTGGCGTGACGACGGAGGGGGCGCGAGCGGAAAGACCTGCTCGAACACCCAAAGCACCGCCTCTACTGAGATCAGCATTGATGTCGGGGGCTTGGGGGTGATTCAGAATCCTTCTCGAATGCAGAAGGGGTCGTACATATATGTATATATACACATACATACATACATACATACATACATACATACATACATACATACATACATACATACATACATGCATACATGCATACATGCATCCACACATACATACATACATACATACATACATGCATGCATACATACATACATACATTTATACATACATACATACATACATACATACATACATACATACATACATACATACTAATATACACATACACATACATATATGTATAAATCATTCGTGCATATGTATATATATGTGTTATATGTGTAATTGTATATGTGTATATGTATATGTATATGTATGTGTGTATGTATATATATATGTACATGTAGATGACTATGAATATGAATATATATATATATATGCACATATATGTGTATATGTATATGTACATGTACCTGCATATGTATGTATGTATACGTATATGTATATGTATATGTATAGGCATGTGTATATGTATATGTGTATGTGTATGTATGCATGTATGTATGTTTATATATAAATATATATGTGCATATATAGATGATTTATACGTATATGAATACACATAGATCTATTGTCCAGATGATTTATACGTATATGAATACACATAGATCTATTGTCCACCTGCTGGAGGGGGCGGTGCGCTCGCAGCCGGCCCCCGACGGACCCGGGCCAGGCGGACAGGCCGCCCCCACGGGCCGAGGCCCGGCAAGTGTAATTCAAGGCCGCGCCGCGGCACGCCCGGGCCGCCGCAGAGAGCGGAAGGGGTGGGAGCCGGAGAGTCGTAACGGGCGAAGAACGGTATAACATAAACTTGTTCGCTGTCGGGGGCGCCTGCCCCTGGGCGGCTGGAAAGTTTATACCTTTACGGTGGCACCGTAGGGGTATAAGCTTTCCAGCCGCCCAGGGACAGGCGCCCCCGACAGCGGAAAAGTTTATGTTATACCGCTTTTCGCTCGCTGAGAGAGGGGGGCGGAGGCCAGTGTCAGCAGTAGAAGCAGAAGAAGCGGCATAGACACAAACTTGTGGCGTTCCGCGCGGATGGGTTTCTTGGACCCGCGCCGGACCCCGCTCTATAGCGCACGGAGCGCGCCAGGGGCGGCGCCGGAGGGGGCCGCCATGGGGGTGGGTGGGCGCAGCGCGGATCCGAGAAAGCAGCGCGGAGCGCCCAAATTTCATGTCTGTGTTCATGCCATGTGTTCTTCGAGGCAAGGTTTCGGCGGAGCCCTCGCCGCGCGTTGCCCGCCCTACCCCGACGACATGTGTGAGCCGAGCCCGTTCGCGCCTCGCCCCGGGGGAGGAGGAGGGGGAGGAGGAGGAGGAGGAGGAGGAGGAGGAGGAGGAGGAGGAGGAGG